AGCCCTTTTCATTTTTTTTTTTAGTCATTTAAAAATATAAAATTCAAAGAAGATAAAAACAGAAAAAAAATTATATGTGTGTGTGTGTGTGTGTGTGTGTGTGTGTGTATATATATATATATATATATATATATATTTTTTTTTTTTTTTTTTTCCCCATTCAGTGGCATTAAGGACATTCATATTGTTGTGCAAAAATTATCCATCTCCATCTCCGGAACTTTTGCATCATCCCAAACAGAAATTCTGTGTATCCATTGAAGGTAGCTTCCACTCCACCTCCTCTCTCCTTTTCCCTAGAAACCATTATTATTTCTTTGAATTTGACTTTTCTAGTTACCTCATGTAAGTGGTATCATATACACTTGCCCTTCTGCGTCTGACTTGTCTCATTAAACAAGTCTTCAAGGTTCATCCAAGTTGTACCAAGTTATAAGGTGTCCGTGCTTTTATTACTTCCAGGGAAGCACTTCTACCACTAAGCTTCATCGAAAAGCCCCTTCCTGTCTCCCCCTCCTCTTTTCCCTCCCGCTTCCCCCTCCCCTCCCTTGACGGAAGGGAACTATATATACACTTCCCTCCCCTCCCTATATTCTCCTTTTTGGACAAGGTCTCAATAAATTGGTTAGGGAACTTCCTAAATTGAATGAACTCAGGATCCTCCAGCTTCAGCCTTCCGAATCCCTGGGATTAAAGGCCAGCCTTGTTTTGTTTTTTTAAAATAGTACTTCGCTAAAATGTTGAGACTACTCTCAAGTTTGGAATCCTCTCACAGGAGTCTCAGGAGTTGCGCAAAAATTATGCACCTCCGGAACTCGCCAATACGCCTGACCCAAGTACTTATTTTTAATTGCTGAAATCTTTTTTTTTTTTTTTTTTTTTTTAAATCTTTTTTTTTTTTTTTTTTTAAGAGAGACAGAGAACTTTTAATATTTACTTTTTAGTTTTCGGCGGACACAACATCTTTGTTTGTATGTGGTACTGAGGATCGAACCCGAGCCGCACGCATGCCAGGCGAGCGCGCCTACCGCTTGAGCCACATCCCCAGCCCTAATTGCTGAAATCTTGTCTAGCCAAGTGATGAGGATGACTTTGAACTCTCCGGCTTGAACGCCTAAGAGCACTCCCAAAGCACAATAACCGCAGGGACAAGAACAGGACTCTACTAAAATACTGGAACTGACTTCAACATCTACATCTATTCTTGGTTATCCTTACGCTAATTTCCTTAATTTTTTACCGTACTGCATATCCCAGACAGACTAAAACACAAAAAACTTGCCCCCACTCTCTTTCGTTGGCACAGCAGACTCAAGGGCGCCGGGACCAACGATCACCAGCTGCCCAAATACCAAAAAATTATGCTTCCGAAATCTCTTGATGTCGATTCCGCACGAAGAGCAATCGAGTTGCCCTACGTGTGCCACTCACGACAGAAGCCCTTTTTGCTTTAGAATGGTTAAACCAGAGAGCCGATGTCTTTCGATTCATCTTTTGGTAAAGGTGAAAAAAACAAGAGCGCAAATAACTTCCAATTCTACACTCCCAAAGCTAAGGAGGAAGTTCCAAAATCTTTTGAGGTGGAGGGAAATGTTCACATACAGAATCAATACTGTCCTTTCGATTTTTATTTAGAAGGAAAGGCAAGGACTTGAGTTAATATGCAAATATGAGCAGTGCTTGCTGGGAAGGTTTTGGAGGACAACCTTTCAGAAGCGAACCTGAGCTGCTGCAGGAGCAAGCGGGTTAGCGGTACCAGCAGCAATGCGCAGTGGAGTTCCTCCCTGTGGTTTTTTGCTTCTCACCTGAAGGGTCTCCCGTAGGAGGAGACGAATATCGGTGGTTATGGTTACCTAATGGGAACATACGAATCCCGACTTATCAAAATAGCAAACACGCAAACTTGGGTCACTAGTAGCCATTCACCCTAGATCTGCTTCTGCGGGAGTGCAGAGGAGGCATCACATGACTTAAGAGGGGAAAACTGGGAGCACTCTAAACTCCCAGGTGCCATCAAGTGATAAGCATAATGTCACAGTGTGCTCATATGATGGAAAGCTATTCGATGGAGTGAATTAGACATCAAAATAAGTTTGTTTTTTTTTTTTTTTTTTTTTTGGTTTTGGTTTTCTTTTTTGGTACCGAGGATTGAACTCAGAGGCACTCGACCACTGAGCCACATCCCCTGCCCCAGTTTGTATTTTATTTAGAGACAGGGTCTCACTGAGTTGCTTAGCACCTCGTTTTTGCTGAGTTTGGCTTTGAACTTGTGATCCTCCTGCTCAGTCTCCCCGGCCGCTGGGATTACAGGCACACCGGTTCCAAGCGGTAAGTTTTAATAAGGTAGAACGTGATACCGTTAATACAAAAAAATGAAGCAATATTGTACATGGAATGACTTAAGTAGATCAATGGCTAATTTTTTTAAAGTATGTAAAAATGATGTTGAAAGAGCACACAGGTTCACTAGCCCAAGCGACCCAGAAGGCTGACAGGATTTCAAGTTTGAGGTCAGCCTCAGCAACTGAGAACCTGTCTCAAAATAAAAAGGGTTGGGGATACAGCTCAGTGGTAAAGCAACCCTCCCCAGTACCAAAATATAATAAAGAGCACCCCCAGTGCAAAATCCAGTCCTAATATATTTTCTACAGCTGTATTTATATGTACAAATTTTTAAAAAAGATATGGAAGAACATAGACTGTTAGACATTTTTTTTCTTTTTTGTGGTGCTGGGGATTGAACCCAAGGCCTTGTGCAATTGAGGCAAGCATTCTACCAACTAGGTATATCCCCAGCCCTAGATATTTTACTTTTTAAAATCTATTTTAGGGGCTGGGCTATAGCTCAGTGGTAGAGCACTTGCCTAGCATGTGTGAGGCACTGGGTTCAATCCTTAGAACCACATAAAAATAAGTAAATAAAATAAAAGTATTATGTCTATCTACAATTAAAAAAATTTTTTAAAAAATCTATTTTAATAATGTATGGAGATTTCTATTCCTTAGAGTAGAAATTACAAGAGGCAACACAGAAATAGTTCTTACATTGTAATAGGAAGGAGAAGTATAGAAACTGGTGGGAAGTATACAGATGGGTGCTGTCGATTATTGGGGGTTCCTCCTATAATCTACCAGTGTTATTTTACTTTTTGGTACTGGGGATTGAACCAAAGGTTGCTTTACCACTAACTACATCTCCCTTCTTTATTATTTGAGACAGGGTCTTGGTAAGTTGCTTAGGGCCTCACTAAGTTACTGAGACTGGCCACAAACTTGCCATCCTCCTGCTTCAGCCTGCTGAATTGCTGGTATTACAAGTGTTCACCACTGCACCTGGCTACATTACTTTTTAAATGCAAATCATCACTGGGGTGTGGTGGTACACGCCTGTAATTCTAGAGGGGGGTGCTTGAGAAAGGAAGATTGTGATTCAAAGCCAGCCTCCTCAATTTGGCCAGCCCTAGGCAATTTAGCAAGACCTTGTCTCAAAACAAACAAATAAATAATAATAATAATAAAATTACAAATTCCCACTATAGTATACAGTCTGGCCTGAAATGAATTCCTGCTTACCTATTCAACCTCACTGTTTCTCCCTGTCACCTACTAAGATTTGGTCCTTGACTAAGTTATTTCCTAACCTAGAGCTTTCACTCAAGTTCCTTCATCACTAAGATAGATAAGCCTAACTTATTGTGGTTCTTTTTTACCCTTTCGTGCATTTGGCCTAGATTGTGAACTCTCCAAGGACAAGGATGTCTGTCTTAGCCACTAGTATGTATCCAGCAAAACGTTTGGCACCCAATAAGACAATAAACATTTGTTGAATGGATGCATATACATTCAAGTAAGGTATTAAAAAGACAAACAGGAGTTCGACAACAAAAGCTGACATGCCAAGAGAACAGTGGCAGGAAAATAAGGCTAGGGAAGACAGCAGGTTGGCACCTAATGGTGATGAGGCCTTGAATCTGAGAATCTGGTTCTAGTATCAGGGTAGAGGGTGGTTTGGGAACATTGTGGGGTCAAGGATGGGAAGATATAAAGACAGGGCAAGTTGCTGCACCCATTTTTTTCCCCAATTCCTGCTGGCAGCTACTGTTTCAAGCTCTGGGCTGTCACAGACCTTTATACATTGTTTGTAAGTTGTTTTCCATTTTACCGAGGATCCCGCAAATGCTGAAACCGGGTCTTGCTTACACGTCTAGAGACTAGGGCAAAAAAGAAGGAGGAAAAAAAAAAAGCAATAATTGCCACCAAGCATTTGCTGGATGAAATAACTCAAAAAGACCAGAGCTTAATGATTACAGGCCAGACTCAGGTTTGGGGTGAGAGTTCTCTATTCTAGGCTCTATACTTAACCTGGATAAATTTTTCACAAGTTTCCTTGAAAAGATTAAATGACACATCGGAAGTAAGGGATTACTGGACAGTACGCGCTCAATTGTTATTAAATGTTATTAGCTACAAATTCACAACCGGTTTCTCCCGTCATCGGGCTTTTGTGCTGCCAACTCCCCTGTTTCGGCCAAACAGGATACCATGGGGTACTGCAGTCCCAGGTGATATTCCCGTCCAGATATCACGACAAAAGCACCGACCAAAAATGGCGACTTCAAAATCATCCGAGGGCGTCATTTACCGGTCATGCTAGCGAAAGATAAGAGTCGGAAAGAAACTGCTAGGGCAGGATTCGAAACGCCGAGGTAGAAAACACAAAGTCGCCCACACCACCAGTCAGTCACAATCTGGAGAAGGGACAACCCGAAGAGGTGAGCTGCAACCCAGTACAGCAACCACGTGTCGGAGGGCGGTCTGCGTCTGCGCAAGTGAGGCGCGCGCCCGCCAGCCGGAAGAGCCGCGCGTTTCCGGGTTGGAGGCGGGTAGCGGTGCCGGAAGTACTCGGGGAGGGCCGCGCAGTCGGACCGGCTGCTGAGACGAAAGCTTCACTGGGGCAGTCTCCGCATATCATGGGGAGATAGACGCTGCTGCCTGTGAGTCTTGGGCCCTGGCAGTTGAGGAAGAAGAGTGGGAGGAGGGAGTCAGGACCCAGACCCACAGTGGGTCAGCGTTTGAAGAACCAGGTTGTGGAGAAGACTGGGCTGTGAGCAATCAGGCTCTTGGGATGGGACTTGTGGGGATCTGGCTCGGAGAAGACGCGGCTGTGGGGACCCGGGCTCCGAAGGAGACTTAGGGAACCGGGACGAATGTGAGTTCTCCGGCACATGAGGGAACGCGGTCTGAGAGGGTCAGGATTATGAGGTCCGGTACTTTTAGGAGGAGAGGGTCGGAACGAAACCGGGCGTGAAGACACGGCACCAGAGAGGTAAAAGTGGAGTAGTGAGGACTTGGGCTCCTAAGAGGCAGACGCGGGACAGCGAAGACCCCGGCTCCTAAGGATTTAGAAACAGGGCAGCGAAGACTTAGGTTCCTGAAGGGCAGAAGCAGGCGGAGAAGACTTTAGTTTGGGAGGGAACAGAAGCGTGCAGTGAAGATTAGGGCTTCTATGGGGACGGGATCGGGGCTTAGAGAGTCCCGAGTTCCTGAGGAAACGGGGCGGTGAGAACGCGGCTCCTAAAATACGGAAAATCTAAGGGGTCGGGACTGTGAGATCAGCCTCCACTGTAAGGGGAAAGGGAAAGGATTTGGAAAAGATATAGCGATCAGTTTTGTTTTTTTTTTTTTTTTCCCCTCTTAGTCTCTATGCCCAGAGTGATAAAAGATGTATTCAGGGGAAGACGACTCCTTCGCGCTTGCCTACTTGGTTTTTGGCAGGCAGGTTTTTCTTGTGTCAGATACTTAACCTAGGAAGTTCACATGCAAGAATCTTCGTTTTTTCTTCTCATTCTTGCGAATTGGATGTGAAGTTGGAAGCAGTTTGAACTCAGATATATACTTGCTAAGTGCTTTGAATCCCATTCCAATCAACCACAACTGAGCATAGATCTCCAAAGCCCAAATTTCAGAGATGGAAGGGCCCGAAAAGATCATCCATCTATTTAAAATTCCTGTTTTACATGTAAGGAGAAGAAGGACCAAAAGGGGTTTAGGATCACAGTGAGTCAAGAAGTGGTTGGATCATAAATTTGGTACAGTATCCTACTGTGTAGCATATAAGATGCTTGGTTAACATTCCTTGAATAAATGCTTCTGGAATCTTTACCTTCAAACTTAATAAGGAAATTATTTTAGAGTCTAATACTTTGAGTCTCATTACTATATTAACATAGATGATAGTGAATGTCACCAGTAAAGAAACCTTTAAGTGAAGCCAAATATAATTTTTTAAAATACACTAGAAAGTCGCAAATAGCAGGTGTGGTGGTGCACACCTGTAATCCCAGACACTCTGGAGACTGAGGCAAGAGGATTGCAAGTTCGGGCCAGCCTCTGCAGTTTAGTGAGACACTATCTCAAAATGAAAAGGGCTGGAAGGCTGGGGTTGGGGCTCAGGGGTAGAACACTGGCCTAACAAGTGCAAGGCCCTGGGCCTGGGTTAGATCCTCAGCACCACATAATAAACAAACAAATAAATAAATAAATGGTATTGTGTCTAAATACAATTAAAAAATAAATATTTTTAAAAAAAAGGGGGCTGGGGATATGGCTCAAGCGGTAGCGCGCTGGCCTGGTATGCGTGCAGCCCGGGTTCGATCCTCAGCACCACATACAAAGATGTTGTGTCCTCCGAGAACTAAAAAATAAAAAATAATAACAATAATAAATAAAAGATTTATATATTAAAAAAAAAAAAAAAGGGCTGGAGTATGTAGCTCAGTGGTAGAGTACCCTGGGTTCAATCTCTAGTACCCATCCCCCAAAAAAGTTGCAAATAAGTTGTATCCTATATTTTTGACACAAGTATTTCTATGGATGGCTGTTTTTAGATAAGGATGGAGAGACTTGGACCAGACACTTCAGACACTTCTTCACTAGTATTTTTTATTGAAAGCTACTGAGGTTAACTAGGCACAATTTAAGCACTTTTTTTCCTTCCCGCCCCTGCCTCCTTTCTGTGTACTGGGGATCCAACCCTGGGCTTTATGCATGTTAAACAAGCGCTCCACACTAAACTACACCCCTAATCTTATTTGTTTATTTATATAAGAGTCTTGCTAAGTTAACCAGACTGGTCTTGAATTTGTGATCCTCCTGCCTCAGTCTCCTGAGAGGGATTACAGGCATTCACTACCGGGCCTGGTTTAAGTACTTTGAAGTATTGTGTGGCTTAATAATTATAACAGCCCCAGGAGTTAGGTATTTTAGGTTCATTGTACAGATAAAGAAATAGGTTTAGAGAGGTTAAGTACTTTCCCTGAAATCAAGTGACCTAGCCCAGTCATTTGTGTCTCCAAAACTTTTTTTTTTCTACTTTTCTAAGTAGATTCCCTCTCCATGTCTGTCTTGTCCATCAGCAAAATATAAGTAATAGTTATACAAAGCATGTCATTGAATGAAAGCACTCCCTTCTTTATAAGATTTCTCTTAATGTCAAAGACAATAACTTGTTAGTATATTTAATGTGGTATTTGAGGAGAACTAAATTTCTATGTTTTCACAGAGCATAATTCAAGATAGACAAGAAGAAACATTTATAGTTTTCCTTACAATAGAGCCCAGCAGAGTTAGGTATATTTAATTTTAAATTTAGGAGGCCAAAGCCAGGTGTAGTGATGCATGCCTGTAATCCCAGCTGCTCGAGAGACTGAGGCAAGAGGGTCACAAGTTCAAAGCTGGCCTCAACAACCTAGTGAGACTGTCTCAAAATAAAAAATAAAAAGGCCTGGGGATGTTGCTCAGTGGTTAAGTACCCCTGGGTTCAATTCCCAGTACAAAAAATTAAGAGGTCAAGCAAGTGCAACTTGGTCCTGCCTGGGACATTTAGCAACACCCTGTCTCAAAATTTAAAAGGGTGGACATATACTTTAGTGGTAAAGCACTTGCCTAGCATGGCAGTCCTCAGAACCACAAAAGAAAATAAAAATTGGATTAACTTGTCAATTAATTGTTAACATAAACTGTATGGTTGGGGCAATTGGGCTAATTTGTTGGAAACTGCTGTTTTTCTCCCATGGCTTACCCTATACTATTTGCAAGTACCTATATACAAATAGTTAGAATTTATACACAGCAAATTATGAGAGAAAGCATGCTTGTGTCACAATTTCATTGATGATTTAGTGATAATTTATTCCTGAGTTATCATCTTTATCTACATTTGCAAAATATACTCAGTTTTACTCATTTGTAGCTGTAGCATTGGGGTGTTTAGCCCCCTCCCCACACCCTTGGCACTGGGAATTGAACCCAGGGGTGCTTTACCGTGGAGTATATCCTTAGTCCTTTTTATTTCTTATTTTGAGACAGGATTTTGCAATGCCCAAAATACCAGTACCATAAATTAATAAATATCTTTAAAAAATAAAATCTTCCTGGTCTGGCTCCTAATTATAAGTGCAAAAACTCTAGTCAAAGATGGTGCCTACTTCTCTTATTTTTACTGGAGATTGAAATTAGGGCTTCACCCATCTCTGAGCTAGATTCCTCAGCTGTGCCCACTGTTTTTTTTTTTTTAAATTTTGAGACAGGGTCCTTGTGGATCCTCCTGTCTCATCTTCCCAGGTAATTGGGATTACAGGTATGTACCACCACATCTGGTTGACACTTACTCCTCTTGACTTTGGTTTTTCACAATTTTCCATCTACTGTTCCATTTATTTGTTTTTATTTTTTGTTGTATTGGGGATTTAACCTAGGGCCACACATGTGCTAGACAAACATGCTACCACTAAACTACATCCCCAGCCCTTTTAAATTTTCGTTTGAAACATGGTCTCATCAAAGCTGCCCTTGAACTTGGGATCCTCCTGGCTTAGTCTCCTGAGTAGCTGGCATTGCCAGCATGTGCTAACTTGATTTATCTATCTAATTAATTAATTAATTAATTTTGGTGGTGCTCAAGATTGAACCCAGGACCTTGCACATGCTAGGCAAGCACTTCGCCAACTAAACTACATGCCCAGCCCCTTATTTATTCTTTAAAATGAGGGTCTTATAATGGCATCCAAGATGACCTTGAACTCTTGGGCTCAAGAGATCCTCTTGCCTCAGCCTGCCACATAGCTGTGATTAGCTGAGCATGGTGGTGCATGCCTGTGCTCCTAGTGACTTTGGAAGCTGAGGCAGGAAGATCACAGGTCTGAGACTAGTCTGGGCAAAAGACTGTCTCAAAATTAAAAATAATTAATTTCCGGAAAGGATCCCAAACTCAAGGCCAACATCAGCAATTTAGTGAGGCCCTGAGGGCTGCTGGGGATGTAGCTCAGTAGTAGAGGGCCACTGGCTTCAATCCCTAGTACTGCCCCCCCCCCCAAAAAAAAAAAAGACTCATAAACAGATTAGGTAACTGCTTAAGTACATATAGGTAAGGGGCAGCATTTGTACTTGACCTCAGAGATTCTCACCAGAGTCTATATCCTTTCCCACTGCACTGTATTGCCTTTCTCTTAAGTCAAAGACACCTACATGGGCTCACACTAGCCAAAACAAGCATTAGCTTCAGACAGGAAAAAATTCCTTGTTTCTTTTGCTTTCAAGTCTCATAGATAACAAATCATTGATTCTTTTTGGTTGATTTAGGCTGGGAAATATGAGCTGTTTTAGATAGAATTGGAAGCCAAGGAGAGAAATAGGTAGGTAAAAAATCCAGTCATGTACTACAGTCATTTTGTTTAAATAAATAAATTCCTGCCAGGCACTGTGATATGAGCCTGTAATCCCAGCAGTTCTGGAGGCTGAAGCAGGAGGATCATGAGTTCAAAGCCAGCCTCAACAACTTATTGAGGCCTCAAGCAACTTAGACCCTGTCTCAAAATGAAAAATAGAAAGACTGGGGATGTGGCTCAGTGGTTAAGTGCCTCTGGGTTCAATCCCTGGCACCATAAATAAATAAGTAAATCCTAAACATTTTAAAGGTAAACAAGTTGCAAAAACAATATGGTATTCTATTCCTCCCTCCCTCCCCCCCCCTCTCTTTTTTGGTTCTTTATATTGAACCTAGGGCACTTTACCTCCAAGTTACATCCCCAGCAGCCCTCAGGGCCTCAGTAAATTACTGATATTGACCTTGAATTTGGTCAATATCCTGCCTTAATTTCCCAAGTAACTGGGATTACAGGCTTGCACCCACCATATCTGGCTTCCCAGCCC